TTTCCTACAATTCGGTAATGCGGGTTTTGGTATCGTTGCAAAGGCTGCTCTAAACAAAGGCAGCAGCAATTTTACGTTTGCCGTCTATAGGAATGCTATTGCGGCTGTTCTTTTGGCACCTTTCGCCTTATTTTTAGAGAGGTCCTGAAATCTTTTTCTGTGTTGGAGATTTTTTTTTTTTCTTTTTTCACGATAATATAGTGACAAAAAAAAGAAATGAAAATTCATTCTTCTTATGACAAGCTATGTTCTTTTATTCTTTACAGGAAAATCAGGCCGAGAATGACGCTGAGTGTTTTCATCAAGATCTTGCTACTTAGCTTATTCGAGTAAATATTATATATGTGTGGGGATGAATAGTGCATGATATTTGTCTATCCATGCATGAACTAAATTTGCGTTTCATTTGTTTGTCGCAGCCCGATTATCGGTCAGAACATGTTCTATGCGGGCATGCGATATTCTTCGGCCACGTTTGCTGCAGCTATGTGCAATCTTCTTCCTGCACTAACTTTTGTAGTGGCATGGATTCTCAGGTGTGTGTGTGTGTCTCACCTTTTAGCTTCACTGCATAACAACTTTTAAATATTTTAATGTTGGTTAGATTATGCAAATCCCACTCAATTTTATATCATAAATAGCGATGGCACTGTAGTGCCAACATATAATAGAAAGTAGACTTGGATACAAAAGATTCCAAAAAGCTTGCTCCACGATATGTTGACTGTTGACTTTGACCAAAAACATGATTCTCACCTTTCGAGATGCTACGGTCCCGTTACGGTAACCGTTAGATCAACTATCTCTAACGATTATTACATAATGATCTAACGGTTATAAACCCTGACGAATGATTCCGTAACGGGACCATAGCATTTTGCATATATTTTATATTGGAACTGAACAAGAATTTATTAACAATTAATCCTACAGAGTTGAGAAGGTGGATTTAAAAAGTATACGCAGCCATGCAAAGATTATGGGGACTTTGGTGACAGTAGGAGGAGCGATGGTTATGACTCTGATTAGCGGGCCGATAATAGGATTACCATGGACACACAAAGCCCGTGATAGTCGTGCTTCAACCAATCCTAATGACAAGGAGGACCCGGTTAAGGGAGCCATGATGATCACCGTTGGATGTCTCGGTTATGCCCTGTTTTACACTCTTCAGGTCATCATTTAGCATAAGTTTCATATCAATCACTTGCAAGCCACGGCGTGCTTATTGAACGTAAACGACCTATTATTTATTTTACTTTTTTATTTTTTCACGTTCACAAATCATAGGCCATCACGTTGAAGTCGTATCCTGCGGGACTTTCGCTGACGACTTTAATATGTACACTTGGAGCCTTGCTCGGGACCATTCTGACTTTCTTGGTCGAGAAGGCAAACACTTCGGTGTGGGCCCTTGGATGGGATGCCAAGCTTTTGGCTTATGTTTATGGTGTAAGATTCTTATTAAATATATATAATAGATTTAGCGAGAACAACCTTTTTTTTTATTCGATTGAAAGTATAAAATCTGCAATTGATCACAGGGAGTGGTGTCGTCTGGAATAACGTATTATTTATCCGGGGTGATAATGAAGACAAAGGGACCGGTTTTCGTGACGGCGTTTAATCCATTGGCCATGGTCATCATCGCAATTTTAAGCTCTTTCATTTTCGCCGAGCAAATGACAGTAGGAAAGTAAGGCGAAAAACAGAACAAAACTGAAAATATTGGCATGAGACAACACATTTCAGATGAAACTAAAATTTGGCATGAATTTTTACCAACTGCAGGGTAAGTGGAGCTACAGTTATCGTAATCGGGCTATACATGGTAATTTGGGGTAAGAGCAAGGACCAGAAAGTAAATGAACTAACTGAGCAAGATAAGCCAGAGACGAAACCTTCAAGTTCAACCGATGAGGCCAAAGCTATAATGGTCTGAATGGCTCACAGATGACAACAACTGGACCCAATGCTGTTTAAGGACAAGGATAATATATATATATATATGCATTCTGTCTTAACATTAATCCTCGTATCTTTGATCTATCTGTATCAGTGGCTACGTAAACCCACTAAATGTCGATGTGGGAATAAGTTAATACTAGCTTTCTAGAACTTGTTACCTCTCAAGACATATTGTGTATCATGTAACTTAATTATCATTGGTTCTATATATAAATTGTGTGTGTTTAACTATACTTGGTTCCATATTTTTAAATGGGTTTTGCGTGTTATGTTGGAATTGAGTTTCTAAAGTTGAGTAAGACAAGCACTAAAACATGTTAAATATTCTTAATTCTGATTAGTGCACTAATGATATATGATTTTGATGCCTGATAAGAGTTGATCATGAAGGTCCAACCTAGCTAGAAGCATAATAAGACAAATTTAAATATTTAATACAACCTGTAAATTTTGTTTTAATTATTTGATTACAATGTCTGTTTCAATTATCTTCCTTTTCCATTTCTGATGTAGGGAAACATACAAGTGTGAGAAGATAAAAAAAAAAAAAAATTTAATCTCAAACGGTGTATTTTATTTCAATAATCAATTGAACTTCACAAAAGAGGATGAGTCCTTTAAATAAGGCTACTAAAATCTTAATACTAACTTGTTCAACAAGACAATGATTTTAACAAATAAATAAATAAATTTCCAAACAAATATAGAATACCACTAATAATCATAATAATAAAGAGAAAAACAAATAAATAAATTAAAGATTCTGAAGATCTCATCATTATCCCATGTCGTAAAAGGATTCGCCACAAATTCGGCATAACCTCCTGGTGACCGAAATCATCACCATATGCCACGTAACAGGAAAACAACCTGCAGATTGGCCACACGTATGGAGAGAGAAGAAAAAGAACTTGTCTCCATTGTTTTCATCAAATAATGTGCTCAGATTCATTTTTTACTCATCAAGCTGTGTAGTGATTGGCGACGAGACCCTGGAGTGACATCACCGAACTGTAGCATATAGTTGTCCTTCGAATCAAGCAACAAAATTGTGATCTCAGCAGATATCGATCATCCATTTATACTGGAAAATTCCTCGGTTGCTTTCTCGGTTGGTGAAAGTCGATTATCGAAAATATTCAACCCTATTGGTTTGCAACTGGCTCGTTCCTCAGCCATATGGTTGTCGTCCTCCACCGACGACATCATATTTGTTTGTTATGTTTGCATTTTTATTTGCTTAAGTTGAGTCATTTTAGGTTCGATTTGTGTGTCCCGATCCATTTTTGTTCGTTTTTAGTAGCTTTTTGTTTTTAAGTCATTTTCGTATATTGTTCTATCTCTTTTGTGCATTTTGGTGTTTTTGTAGGCCGGAATGAAGGAATAGTCGTTTCGTGGTGTGCCGTCCCGAGTGCTTAGTCATGGAGTCGTCGGTGAATTCAGTGTGTTGATTAAGAGAATCAAATTTTTAAGGTGATTGGAGAATAGTGCGATGAAATAGAGCTTTAGAAGTCGAACCATGGTCACCGGGGCGAAATGCTGAGAGTCGAACACTTTTTCATGTGGAGAACTCACGCCCGCGAGTTTAAATTCGCGAGCCATGCCATTCCGCGAGCCAACAGCCAGCCTTCAGGCTTGAAAACTTGCATTCGCGAAATTTAATTCGCGAGCTATGGCCAGTTCGCGAGTTGCCAGGCCGACAGAACCCAAAAATCGCGCCCGCGAGTTTCTCTTCTATCCCGCGAAAAGCCTCTACCTCGCAAATTTCCTTTTTCGCGCCCGCGAACAAGCTTTAACTCGCGAGTTTCTGTCGTCACGCCCAGGTTTTCCTTGCCCGCGAGTTCTCGTCTTCGCGCCCGCGAAAGCATGCTATCCCGCGAATTTGTCCTTACCAACGAAACCAGTCCGCGAATTCGAAGACCCAACTCGCGAAGTCTGACTTAACTCGCGAGTGTCCCATTTAATGTGCGTTTTTAGTGTGTGTTTTGCCTATTAGTATAAATACATTTGATGCTCAGTATTTTGGAATCCACCCTTCATTATATATTTTTCCTTTTCTGGATCTTAGTCTAAGTTTTTATTTTCCTCTCTAGGCTAAGGTATGTTTGGAGCTTATTGACTCGTATTTTCCGGCAAGTTTCCGGTGACATCTTTTTACTTCAAGTTTCGAACTTTTCCATCCGGTGTTCTTCACGCATGCATTAGGAGAGTGGGTAGTTAGCTTTAATCCTCATTACTTTGATTTTGCCCCGTTTATTGCTTATGTCGTGTTTCAAGGTGATATCGGTTTGCTTGTTGAATGGAGGAACGTTCAATTCTTGTTGCTTGTCATGGTGTGTTAGGGATTAGCTTGTGATTATCTCGTTTAAGGGGTTACGACTTTGCTAAAAGAGTAGTCTTTAGTAGAAAGCTCGGTTCTATCACCTAGGATCACTTGGCTACTTTGATGTCTCTCGATTATTTGTGTTGATTTGAGTTATAAAGACTCCGGTTGACCTTAAGCTCGTCTTTGTTTTCAAGCTTTTAATTGATTTCGATTTCCATTGCTCGCTTAGTGTTAATCCATGCCAACCAATCGTTTAGGATGTTTAGGATTTGTTTTCCCTTTTTGTGATTTAGACAATTAAATAGTAAACGAAGCTCTGAACTGTCTTCTTTTGAGAACTGAACCGTCTTCTTTTGAGGACGACCTGAGTCGGGTAGCTCGGTCACCTCTTGCCTACCAAAACTCTACAAAAAACAATATTCTCTTTGTAAAAAATTGGCGGACTCTCATACTCGGGCGACCCCTCGTCATCGAAACTAGGAATACCCTCATAATCGGTCGACCCTTGCGCGTCCGCAAAGCCCCTTGAAAATTCGGAGATCTTGACTCGGATCGATGACTTCCAACGTCTACCATTGGCGAACCGGTCTTCGTCGGGCACCTCCATCGCGTCGAAAAGATATAATTCGGAAAGGTGTCTTCAACCTTCTCCGACCCACAGTGGAGGCGTCCAAGCGCGGGATGCTTCGCATGGACGTAGGTCGTGACCCTTGTGCATCCCACTGCGTTCCCCGTCGTGAGAGCGGTTTGTGTGCTTGCCCTCAACAATGGTATGGAGAGCCAGTCAAATGTCCCTGATCTCCATGTACACATCCGCAATCTGACGACTCATAGTCTTGAGCTGGTAGCCAATCTCCTTGTACTGGCGGCTCAGATTGTCGATGGCGGCATTACGCCTGTCGTTTGCATCATTTTGTCTCTGTGGTAGACTCGTTGATATTGGCTGGTCACTGATGTCAACTGATGCATCGAAAGCGTACGAAAGAAAAATTAAGAAGGGATTTATCTCGTGAATACGTAAATTCTTATTCAAACATGACAATATTGCGAGCCAACATATTCCCTTTGATCTGGAATCAAGATCTCCTTATTCTCAATCGTACGCTGCACTAAATCTAGGGTTGCGCATGGGACGGTTCGGTCGGAGATCCAGAAATCTCTGGAACCGAACCGAACTTTGGAGATTCCAAAATTGGATCTCCGGATAGGAATCGGTTCTAATAAATCTCCGTTCCGAACCGGACTAAAATACCAAACCGAATTTCGATTCCGTTCTAATGGGTCGGTTCGGTGCGGATCTTAGATTTCGGAGATATTTTTTATAAAATATCCTAATTGCATGTTAGATGTTACATATCATGGATGAAAAAAAAATCAAAAACCTCTTTTAGTTTTACAAGATATATTGTCAATTAATAGTTTTTACAAGATATATTGTCAATAAATAGTAAGAATAGGTGGAATCTTTTTTATTTTATTAAAAAAGTGATAATTATCTTTTAGTTGCAAAATATCATAATTTAAATCGAAATATTTATATGTTAAACGTTTATATGCCAAAAAAATATTAAAGATATTTACTTGTTAAATAATAGTCAATTTTTAAATATAATTACTTGTTAAATAAAAGGATATTTTTGGAAATATATTATGTCCAAATAAATTAATTTCTTCCGGCCGATATCGTGGGATTCGGATATAGCACATATAATTTTTTTTTTCGAAAAGTGAAGATATTTAATTTTATTAAGTTGTAATTAATTTAATTAATAAAATAATCGATATATCCGTTCTTAATCTAATATTATGGCAATGATATCTTTCAATTTATTTTTATTTTAGAATATATCACCTTTAAATAAATAATTTTCTCAAAGTTTTGTAAAAGACTTATTTCATGAAGGTCGGTTTCCAAACATTCGGTACTTAACATTTTATTTAATGATTTTCTTAATAAAATATTTAACATGTTGGTTGTAAAATTTTGTAATAGGAAGAGTATATTAATTTAATTTTCTTTTCAAAAAATTAATTCGAAAATGAGCGGAGGCGGGTCGACTCTGAGTTGATTCGGGGTCCGAGCTCAGCTTCTGTATAGGTGATTCTGCAGTTTCGGAAGAGGTTTTTTGGGCTTGGGATCTTTCTTGGAGTTCGATCGCTTCTCTGTTGTTCAACCAGTTTTTCTGCTGCGGAAGAGCTTGTTCGTTCTTATTTTTAGTTACATGTTCTGTTTTGTGTCATTTGATTCTGTGTTGTTTTTCATCCGGTGTTTTTGGTTTAGGCCGTTGGCCCCTGTACTGTGTGAGCCCGGCTGTGTTCGGGTCTTATCCCTTGGGGATCAATTATATTCTCCCGTGGGGAGCTTTGTGTTGATTTGTTTATTTTGTCATGTCGGTTGTGTTTGAGTCTCGTCTTTTGGTTTCTAGCTTGGCTAGCCGCGGATCTATGCAGTCTTCTGACATGTCCTCCCACTTTTTCAGCTATTGGTTGTATTATTCATCTATGAGCTGTAATTTTACACATTTGTGCATTTTGATTTATAATATCTTCTATCGTTCCGGAAAAAAAAAATCTCAAAAACGAGATCAAACCACCTGCAGTCCCTTTTTTCTCTTGTCAGTGCCAATACTTTTCGCAACTTTTCACGA